CGCCCAGTTCCGACCCCAACCATCGAAAAAGGAGACGACGAAAAAGACGAAGAAGCGAGGACATCGATGCAATTTCCCATCCATCCCAATCTCCCATAGGTAGCCCATCCTTCCCAGCTTAGGACCCCTCATTGCAGTCGCGCAGAAAATCGTGCACCGCAGAAAGTGGTTCATCACATGTGTGATGCCCAGGGGGTTCCAATATTAGCAAGCTCCTGCTTGCTTGTTGACACGTGTCAATTTCTCTCATCGATCGACATGTGGAGCTTTTCCTTTTGTGCCACTTACCGTTTAAAATGAGTGTGGACGTCGTCCATCGTGGCAAACACAGCTCCAACTACTAATTCCTCAGGAAGGGCCATTGACAATCCAAGGAGGGGATCACACATGTCGTCATCGTGATACGTGTCAATCGAACATGCATCAATGAGAAAAGGAGGGCAGACATTCTAAATCAGACGTTCCCGGGGAAGGGCAACCGGATCATCGATGGTGGTGGGGGTGGGTGGTTCAGGGGGAGAGGGGGCATTAACTGACTGCTGGCGGGGGAGGCGAAGGCGGGAAGGGTAGCGTAGTGGAAGGAGCGATGGATGCGGGGAAAGCGAGGGTCTTCGTGAAGATTGCGAAAAGCGGCAATGTAGTCGGGATAGATGGTAGAAAGGTTTCGACGCAAGGCGGCGCGAAAATCCTCATAGTCTTCGCAGGCGTGGATAGTTCCGGATATAACACAGTATATTTCTACGTGGTTATATTCCTGCCAGTCTGCGCTAAACAGGAGCACATGAAGGAGGAAGGAATCGATTACAGAGCGGGTGGTGGCATGCGGATAGACGGAGACTAGAAGGCGGGTAGCGTAGAGATGGTCGAAAAGGTTGTGGGGGAAAGGGCACCATCCATCAGGGAACGGAGGTCTACCAGGGAGGCGGGTAAGCATGAGGTAGTCACGGGGTTGGCGAGAGAACGATCGGGGACGAAGCCCGAATGCCGAGATCTTGACGTAGACGAACGGAAGGCCGGGGTGTGGAGCCGGATGAAGCCGGGCGATTCGCTTCTTCTTGTTCTTCGCCGTCGCAATCCCTTTGCGGCAGTTCCATCGTCTTCTTCCTCTGGCAGCTCCGGATCACGCCACGGATCTCCTACCGATGGATCGATAGGCGTTCCCTCCTTCACGGGCCGCTTTCCTTCCGCGTTTTCCCGTCGCTTTCGCTCCTTCTGCTCTTCCTCCTCTTCGTTCTTATCGGGCTGCTGGCCCGACCCTCTCGCTATCCCCGCTTTTCTCTCTGGGACGTAGTCGGGGTCTTCCCGTCCCTCATTCGATAGCTCCTCTTCTTCTTCTTCTTCTTCCTCTTCCTGCGCTTCCCCTATCTCTCGTTTTGCGCCGCGTTTCTCCGCGCGATCGGGTCCTAGAACGTAAGGTCGGTGACGTCAATTTCCAAACAGAGCGCCTGGGAGGGATAGAGACAGTTGTCCTCGTCGATCTCCGTACACGTGGACCACACCAAGTGCGGTTCGAGCGTCCGAGACAGCACGTGGGTGTCGGGCTGCTCGTCGCACCGCGACAAGATATCCAGGTGCAGATCGTCCACCAGCTGGGTCAGGAACACCAACAGCTCGCTCGTGATCAGGACGAGACCTCCCTCCTCCACCTTTCCAAATACGATCCCCAGCAGATCACCTTCCTCTGCTGTCCTCCAGGCCTGGATGATTAGGAGCTCCACACTGTCCTCTGGGTGCTCTGGCCCTTCTCCGAATGGCGCCGACTCTGACCAGCGGAACTCTCTCCAACAAGCAGAAGACGAGCTCAATGTAGTCCTCCCACCACGCGTCCCACTTTTCTTCGCTCAATAGAGGCGCATTGTTCTCCTTAACACGATAGGAGAGAGTAGGGGCCCGCGCGGACTGCCAAAGAGTGGGGATGCAGGAGGGAAGGCCGAAGTAGGAGAGGCGGCGGCGACTCATTGAGGCGGTGCGAAGGGACGAAGCTCCGGAAGTACGATCGCCAGCGACCTGCGGGATGAACGGAGCTGAAAGTTGGTATCGTGTGCGGGCAAGACGGTATCTCCCCGATGAGCAAGGAGTGTCGTCCACGCCGTGCGCACTTCCTCAGCCAGGCGCGCAGAGTCCGATAGATGTCGGGATGAATCGGCGAGGGAATCGTCGTGATGTCCCCCTTGAAGACGATGACGACGGTGACGTGCCAGGAGGGGACAGTCGCCGAAAGGCCGAGATCTCGGCCAGAACGCGCGTAGTGGCTGCCTCCGTGAATCGGATCTCCGCCGCCGCGTGGATCGCCGCCATGCTGAAGAAGGCTGCGAACCGCAGGAGATCAGCGCAGAGATGGGGCCGTTGCACTTGCCGGATGACGCTGATTCGGCCCCTCGGAGTAAGTAGCCGCGCACGGATCACTTGCTCCGTTGCAAAGCTCATGGCGATGGTGGCGGGGACGGGGTACCTGAGAGAACGAGATGAGGAGGGATGGACAGGTGATAAGCAGTCGTCGTCCTCTTCCGCAGCGGAGGAGGAGACGAATAAAGGTGGAGAGGGCGAAGAGGGAAGGGGACGTAGATAGGACACGTGGCGTGTGATCGGTCGAGCCCATCGGCTGCCGGAGACCTCAGGCGCAAGCCGCACGGTGTTCACGCCGTTCGGTCCGAGCCTCAATCACGCGGAATCGCCCGAAGAATCGTGGCGCTAGCTTGCCCCGACGAGCACATTTCCTTACCTGCACGATGTCCCCCAATTTGTACTGGGGCCGTGGACCTGCGTCCCTGTTCCGGGCCTCGTAGCTTCGGACCTGTCGGTCGTGGGCCAACTCGGTCATTTTCTGGCGTTTTCGGGCTAGCCTGGGGAGGGACCGTTCCATTAGCTCTAAGTGCCGCTTGGCCTTGTAAAAGAATTGTGGCCCTTGTGGGCCGTCGGTTCAGCGTTGACTCATCGGGAAGGCTTGGTATCGAAACACAAGCGACGCTATTGGTCCTTAATAGGAAGGGGCTCAGGCACGTCGATTCGTGGGGTGTTCCGCGATGGACCGCCAGGATGTGGTCGACGATATCGGGCCAAGGCCTCGGATCCCGTGCTGCGATGTTTCGTCTCAGCGCTGTCTTTATCACCCTATTTGCGTTTTCTACTAGCCCGTTGGATTGTGACATGTGGGGCGTGGTATTCCGCACAGCGACCTCGTGTATGACCAGATTCCTCAACACTTCCCCTCTGAATTCCACCCCGTTATTGGTCAGGATCTCTTTTGTGTCCTGGTGCATCCCGAGAAAACGGTTAACATACTGCGCGATTTCAGCGGTTTGCCGCGTGCGACATGGGTAGGGCTCGATCCATTTCGAAAAATGGTCGACAAATACCAACAGGACTGAATGTTCACAGCTATTAGGACCAGGAGGTACCACAATATCGGTAGTATCCATGCTAACCCTCTGAAAAGGCCGCTCAACTACTATTGGCACTATCGATCTTGGCGGCTGAATCGGCGCCTTATCAGCAGCGCAGACTTGACAGTTTGCGACGATGAATTTCACATCGTCCCGAATATTGGACCAGTACCATTCATTTTTGTCGATTGCTGACTCTGTAATCCGTACGGCAAAATGGGTTGTCGTTTCCTTGTGCGCGGTCTTCACCCAGTCATACCTCATGAACGGGTGTGGTACAACCATCCAAATTCCACTGCCCTCCGTTTTTCGCTTTTCTAACCTACCCTCGACCCATCGATAGTCCCGAGCCCTTTCATTAGCCCTCCTCCCATCTTCCTTGGTGAAATCCTGGAGGGGGTTACCCACTAAGGTAGCAATCAGAGCGATATCGGTCCATACTTCAGCCCTTCTAAACTTCCGGGTCTTCTCCAGCCCTTCTGACGTGGCATCCAAAAAGCGAGCCTCGGTCGGGATCTTGTCAACCCGACACAAGGGACACAACCACGACTTGTTGTCATTTCTGTATTGGATGCACGAGCCATAGGCTCGTGCAACACATTGTCGACAATCTATCCATTCCGCATAGCCTTCCCCGTTAGGACGCATGGAGACTGAGTACACGCGAGAAATTGCTTTGCAAAAATAACAAAATTTATCAGGCAGGGAGAGAAGAGATGAGGAGGTGGGGGGAGAAAGAGGGGCTACGGGATTACCTTCGTCACCCATTACCACCAGCCTGCTTCTTGCCACGTGGGAGAACTGCCACTTGTCCGTACTTGGGCCCGTTCGCTGACTCCGGTTCTTTCCACGGAATGATTTCCTCGCCCTCAGGCACTTTAGCGGGTCGATGCAGATGTGTCAGTCCGTCCGCGTTTCCGTGTCTCTCCGTCTTTCGATGGATGATGTCGAAATCGTACTCCTGCAGGCGCACTGCCCAACGTCCAATCATGCCGGTGTAATCGGTGAGCTTCTTCAAAGCCAGCAAAGGCTCATGATCCGTCGCGAGACGGAACTTCTGTCCGGAGAGATATGGATGGAAGTGCTGGATTCCCCAGACAACTGCATAGCATTCGCCTTGAGGTACTGAATCATTCCTTCGTTCGTCCGACACTGTTTGTGATGCGTATTCGATGACGTGTTCGCGACCATCGTTCCCCTTCTGTGCTAAAATGGTGGAGATCGCTTCTGGCTGCCCGTCCGTTATAAGAATAAATTGCTTGGTAGGGTCCGGCCGGATCAAAATTGGTGCAGTGGCCAGGGCTTCTTTGAGTGCATCGAAGGCCTGCCCACACTCACAGTCCCAATGCAGAGGCTGGTCCTTCCGAAGCAGGTTCGTGAGAGGCCGAGCAATCGCCGCAAACCCTTTGATAAAACGACAGTAGTACGACGCCAGGCCTAAGAAGGCTCGAACCTGCGTCAGTGACGTGGGAAATGGGGCTTCTTTTACGGTCGCAACTTTCCTAGAATCTGGTCGCAGCCCTCCACGTGTCACTACGTACCCCAAGAACGAAATTTTCGAGAGGAAAAATTCGCTCTTCTCAAGTGCAATTTTGAATCCAGCATCCCTTAGCGCTCCCAACGTCCATTCAATGTGTTGCGCATGTCCGTGATAGGTCTCCGAGTAGACAAGGATATCATCCATGTACACTATCACGAAAAAGTTGATCATTCCCTGCGTCAGCCGTGTCTTGTTGACGAAAGTTCTGGAACATCACGTTCATTGCTCGTTGAAACGTGGCATGCGCGTTACAAATTCCCATTGGACATCGAACCCACTGCCACGTGCCTTCAAACAATACGAAGGCCGTCTTCGACCGATCTTCCTCCTTAACCAGAATGTGATGGAAGCCATGCCGAATATCAAACTTGGTAAAATAATTAGCACACTCAATCGCATCCAGCAAATCGTCAATCCGGGGGAGGGGGTACACATCTTTGATCGTGATATCATTCAACTTACGATAATCAATGCATATGCGAATGAATCCGTTCGTTTTAGGTACTAACACTACGGGAAATGACCATGGTCCAGTGGCAGGTTCGATCCAACCGCTTGCTTCGAATTCCCGAATTCGTTCGAGAGCCTCTTTTCGTTCTATCAGGGAATAACGGTAAGGCTTGCAGTGAATTGGGGAATGATTCCCCGTCTGAATTTCGTGTTGACTGACCAACGACAAACCGATGCCAGTGTTCGTTACACTAATCGTTCCCTGATATTCTGTCAGGATGTCCGCAATCAAACGATGAATCTCATCAGGTACGTACTGTGGAACGTGTAATTCGAAAAATTGATCCCAGATCCGTACGTCGATCTGCTTCGTGTGCGCTTGTTTCGCCACATCGGGTGGTGGCGCAGAGATAAACGAATGGTCCGATCGCCATGAGAACACTGTGGCCATCATCTGGGCGTCTTCCTCCCGGATGGCCACGTGTCCTTCCGGGGTGATTCCATCGCAGATATCTTGCCATGGCACGGTTTTGGTCGCGATCTTAACTCCGAGCTCATCTGATTCAGCTTCGAAACGCCCAGGGGGTTCCAAAGAACTGGCTTCCGCCCCCAAACGTAACAGTCGTACTTCTTTTGCGGGTGACAGCAAGGATCGTGGTAGGCCCGTGATGTCGCAAAAAGCTATCTTATCGTTGTATCGTGCGAGAAGAGGGGCCGTTCCTTCGTACAGGGTCCGAGGGGGTTCCAGAGAATCGACCATCCTCGAGATTTGTACGAGGGGTTCGCCCAAAATCATTGTCTGGGTCCTTTGTTCGTTCCACCTAGTTAGATGCATTGTTCTTGCGATCGTTCTAGGTGGCGGGTAGTAAACACGCTGTCGTGCTAGTTTCACAATTTCCGGATCATTTTCGTCACCGCTATCCGCATCCTTCGATGATGGCTCATCGTCTGCGGAGTCTTCCCAGGTGATCATGCGGAGATTTCCCGCTATCATCGGAGAAACTCGCGGGACTGCGTTGATGGTAGTACGAAGAGTCAGCCTCATAGGTACAACATAGGGTTTTCCTCCCGTATTTCGGAGGATGATTGACCGTCACTCGAAATCCAAGTTTGCTCGTAACGCTACAAAAGCGGGAAGGCCGAAAAGGACGTCGTAGGTGTTTACGTCTAATACCACGACATCTCCTAGCGCATGCACCTTTCCTAATCGAAAAGCGACATTGGTTATTCTTCCCACTGTCTTGATCTTTTCTTCGTCTGCCGAAACGAGCTGATATTTTTCCGCAAGCATGATTAGATCGTTTTTCCTACCCGCCCTCTCAACTACTCGCAGCGAGATAGCCAGGACAGCAGCTCCCGAATCAATGATCGCATTGTACAAAATTCCCTATATTTCAATGTCGCATTCCACGGATTTCCAAGGGATGGGATTAATCCGTAGGAAATGATCGTCTTTCTGGATTAAACCTACCCGTATCGGATCCGAAGTGCCAGCTGCATTTTCGTCTTGCGTGGGATTTTTAGCCTTCACGTTCGTTGTTCGGGCGAGGGCGAATCGTTTTCGATTCGCCTTACAGTGTTGTAGCATTCGCTCATTAGCTTGTTCAGAGATCGAGAGCAGATGGCCGATCGGAAGTGGAATCCGATGGTCCAAAGCTCGGATGATGTTCAACACGTCGATTTCCCCAGTGACGAAGATGGGTCCTCCCGACTCCATCTCTCCTGGAGAAGGTCGCCACTCCGCCACTTCTTTCTATTCCGGCGCCGGTCTGATTGTTCCAATCATTCCAAGCCCAGGATAACCAAGCGATACATATTGATCTAACGGGATGAGCTCAGCAGCCTTTTCCGTGGTAGCTAACGCACTTCCCCCACCTTCCATTTCTTCCATCAGGGCTCCTACCCGTCCAGGCCCGTTAGCGATGGGGGCTGCTGCCATTGGTGCGACCCCAACCCATTGTTGCGGGGGCCGGTGGGGGCAATCATGGGCTAGATGCCCCGGTTGATGGCATGCATAACAAACATTCAGATTGCTTGCGGCCCCTCCACGCGCAGGTGTCGGGGCCAGTCCTTGTTGGATTGGAGCGGCACGTACTGCGATGGGCCGCATGTTCCTCATCATAGCCTCTAGCCGAGCGTTATGTACTCGCTGCTCCTTTTTGCTCTCCTGGATTAGGCTAATTAATGTTTTGGTCAGTTCAAAAATAGCAGTGGACTCATTTGACCGTACAGGGTTCTCAATCGGTGGCGGGGGTGCCGGCATGACAGGTGTTGGCATCACAGGAACAGGGACACTCGTAATTACACTCGGGGCCTGTCGTTTAGGGGCTATCTGTTCCAGATAGGTGACTGGGCCAAACACAAATCCTATATTCTCGAACTTATTTTGCAAAGCGGCCAGCTCAGCTTTCGCCCTTGCAAGTTCGGACGAATCCCCTTCCTTGGGATAGTCTTCTCCTTCCAGGAAACTCGCCGCGAACTTTCGTTCCATCTCCTCTGCAGCGGCCATAATTTGTTCCAGCGTATGATTGATGGGGGAGAACTGTTTTCGCAGCTTCGCCCTTATCGTTCGGCTGCGAAATCCGTCGATAAACAAATCTCTTCCGACTTGCTCGCCCCTCTCAGTTTTCACAAACATTCAGTAGAATCGGTTTCGATATTCCGCGATAGATTCAAGAGTTTTTTACACCCTGTCTTTAATCATGAAAAGTGCTTGCTCTGGGTGGACATAGTCGAATCGATTCAAAAAGTCTCGCTCGAAAGTCGGAAGATCCACCCATACATAGGTACTAAACAAAATGATGAGCGTCCCCTCCTAATCGGGCGGGAATATTTACCTGAGCTTCGTTATCGTCATACTGTTGTGCCCGAAGCGTGGCCAGCCATGCTCCTGCGAGATGATGTGCAGGATCGAACAGATAGAGATCAGGTGGCGTCATGGGAGCCCAGGCTCGTGGGGCGGGTTGATTAGGATTTTGTTGATTCTGCTGCGGATTCGGATTAGCGTTTATGTTGACTGCCCGTCGATTAGCCGTTCTGCTTCGGGTAAAGACGGGGTCGCGTGTATGCGCGTTCCGGGGTCGAGGTTGCCCTCAGTTAGCCAGATCACTTAATTATCGTGTTGTCAGTTCTAGAACCCGGCCACGTGTCGGGCTCCGATACCAACCTCACACCCAGCGCGACTTCCTGATCGGAGTATGATGTGGGCCTGGAAGTGCGAAAAGGGGTGTGCCAAGGATTTTTGGGAAAGTGGGGGTGGAGTCCCAGGTCAGAACTGAGATCTCCTGTGGCAGAGTTTTTCGGGGGCACGGGTGCAATTTGGCAGAGAGGGCGGACCACTTCTGGTCATAAGGCAGATGTCATGCGCGGGTCATTCAAGACCGTGCGATCCATCTGGTTTGAGGGCGGCGGTTCGTCGAAGGGTCCCTTCGGGATGGGTGTGGTTCCGATGAGTCAGTCCGTCGGATATCGCCACGTGGCGCCGGTCGTCGTACGTTCTGGTTAGGCCCTCGCGGTCCCGAGGCTCCCTGGTTGCCACGTTGTCGGCAGTTTCTGCAGGGCGTGTGGGGCCAGTAGGGGGCTATGCCTTTCCACAGGATGACCCTGAGTTGATGATACGGGAGAAGAAGACGGAAGGGAGGGAAGTAAGTGGAGATAACGACAAAACCAGGGGAGATAAAGTAGTGGGTGTGGTATGAAGTGGGGAAATCAGAGCACCGGGGGTCGTTGGTTGTGGCGCAGTGAAACTCCCTAGGGCACAATCGATTCTCCGTTAGGCAGGGGAATCTCTATTGGAGGCTCTCTTGTATCCAAGGGGTGAAGTATTCCGGGTCGTACAACGACTCTGAGCTCTCGGAGCGTGTCATTATGTCATCGTAGAGCTGCGAGATTCCTAAGGGCGGGTCTGTGCCGGTTGCGATCACCGCCTGTAAGCTCGTGCTGGCCGCGCGACTCGAGTCACGCTTACACGTGTTCACACGGGATGATTGCTTCGTTGCTGACGCGGAATGGCCACATCCAATCAGGCAATATCCTCGCAATCGTTAACCTTTTTATATGTGGTGGGTTGTGAATCAGCACGCGGGGACACGTGTACGGGCGCCGATCAGATCGCACCTACGCGCGCCCCAACACGACTTTCACTGGTTTCTGGGCAAAACAACTATCCGATCATCTAATCACTCCGTAAGTTCTGAGCCGGCGAGACGCAACAATCGCAACAGCTCAATTGATGGGTAACTGAGAACGGAAGCAGTATTAATGACTGCGCAAAATTCCTACCCTACTCATGAATGCATCAAAACGATTAGCAAAGGCAAAGATCATGCATACGGACAAGCAAACAGACATACATCCATTCATTCAACATAGCACACAACATCAAAGATTGAAGTCACAACAATGAGTGTAGACGAAAGAAAACCAAGCCAAGATTCCGAAAACAAAGACGGGCAA